ACTAATTAATTAATTGTTGGATTCTTTTTTGGAACATATGCATAGGGCACTTTTGGAAAACTAGTTTTTGGGGAGCTGGGGGAGAAGGAGCAAATTAATAAGCGGCTTATTAAGGGGTAAAATAAATTATACACATATACTAAAGTTTTAAGGAAGGAATGTCAAAATCTACGCTCTGTGCCTAACAAAAAATCCTCGCCTTAGTTGACCCCTGAGACCTCTGAAAATTGTTATTCAAAAAAATCCACGCTTTTATAGACCCCTGAAACTTCTGAAAATTTGTATTTAAAAAATCCACGCCTTTGAAGACCTCTGAAAATTTGTATTTAAAAAATCCACGCCTTTGAAGACCTCTGAAAATTTGTATTTAAAAAATCCACGCCTTTGAAGACCTCTGAAAATTGGTATTTAAAAAAATCCACGCCTATGAAGAACCCTGAGACCTCTGAAAATTTGTATTTAAAAAATCCACGCCTTTGAAGACCTCTGAAAATTGGTATTTAAAAAAATCCACGCCTATGAAGAACCCTGAGACCTCTGAAAATTTGTATTTAAAAAATCCACGGATTTTTAAGACCTCTGAAAATTTGTATTTAAAAAATCCACGCCTTTGTAGACCCCTGAGACCTCTGAAAATTTGTATTTAAAAAATCCACGGATTTTTAAGACCTCTGAAAATTTGTATTTAAAAAATCCACGCCTTTGTAGACCCCTGAGACCTCTGAAAATTTGTATTTAAAAAATCCACGTCTTTGTAGATCCCTGAGACCTCTGAAAATTGGTATTTAAAAATCCGCGCCTTTGTAGACCCCTGAGGCCTCTGAAAATTTGTATTTAAAAATGTCCACACCTTTGTAGAACCCTGAGACCTCTGAAAATTTGTATTTAAAAATTTCACGCCTTTGTAGACCCCAGAGACCTCTGAAAATTGGTATTTAAAAATCCACGTCTTTGTAGACCCCTGAGACCTCTGAAAATTGGTATTTAAAAATCCACGCCTTTGTAGACCCCTGAGGCCTCTGAAAATTTGTATTTAAAAATGTCCACACCTTTGTAGAACCCTGAGACCTCTGAAAATTTGTATTTAAAAATTCCACGCCTTTGTAGACCCCTGAGACCTCTGAAAATTGGTATCTAAAAAAAATCCACGCCTTTGAAGACCCATGAGACCCCTGAGACCTCTGAAAACTTGTATTTAAAAAAGCCTCGCCTTTGTAGACCCCAGAGACTTCTGAAAATTTGTATTTAAAAAAGCCACGCCTTTGTAGATCCCTGAGACCTCTGAAAATTTGTATTTAAAAAATCCACGCCTTTGTAGACCCCAGAGACCTCTGAAAATTTTTATTTAAAAAATCCACGCCTTTATAGACCCCTTAGACCTCTGAAAATTTGTATTTAAAAAATCCACGCCTTTGAAGACCCCTGAGACCTCTGAAAATTTGTATTTAAAAAAGCCACGCCTTTGTAGACCCCTGTGACCTCTGAAAATTGGTATTTAAAAAATTCACGCCTTTATAGACCCCTGAGACCTCTGAAAATTGGTATTTAAAAAAATCCACGCCTTTGAAGACCCTTGAGACCTCTGAAAATTTGTATTTAAAAAAGCCACGCCTTTGTTGACCCCTGAGACCTCTGAAAATTTGTATTTAAAAAATCCGCGCCTTTATAGACCCCTGAGACCTCTGAAAATTTGTATTTAAAAGATTCCACGCCTTTGAAGACTCCTGAGACCTCTGGAAATTGGTATTTAAAAAAATCCACGCCTTTGAAGACCCCTGATACCTCTGAAAATTTGTATTTAAAAAATCCACGCCTTTGTAGACCCCTGAGACCTCTGAAAATTTATATTTAAAAAATCCACGCCTTTGTAGACCCCTGAGACCTCTGAAAATTTGTATTTAAAAAAGCCTCGCCTTTGTAGACCCCAGAGACCTCTGAAAATTTTTATTTAAAAAAATCCACGCCTTTATAGACTCCTTAGACCTCTGCAAATTTGTATTTAAAAAATCCACGCCTTTGAATACCCCTGAGACCTCTGAAAATTTTTATTTAAAAAAATCCACGCCTTTGTAGACCCCTGTGACCTCTGAAAATTTGTATTTAAAAAATCCACGCCTTTGTAGACCCCAGAAACCTCTGAAAATTGGTATTTAAAAATCCACGTCTTTGTAGACCCCAGAGACCTCTGAAAATTTGTATTTAAAAAATCCACGCCTTTGTAGACCCCAGAGATCTCTGAAAATTTTTATTTAAAAAAATCCACGCCTTTTTAGACACCTAAGACCTCTGAAAATTTGTATTTAAAAAATCCACGCCTTTGAATACCCCTGAGACCTCTGAAAATTTGTATTTAAAAAAGCCACGCCTTTGTAGACCCCTGTGACCTCTGAAAATTTGTATTTAAAAAATCCACGCCTTTGTAGACCCCAGAGACCTCTGAAAATTGGTATTTAAAAATTCCACGCCTTTGTAGACCCCTGAGACCTCTGAAAATTGGTATCTAAAAAAATCCACGCTTTTGAAGACCCATGAGACCCCTGAGACCTCTGAAAATTTGTATTTAAAAAAGCCTCGCCTTTGTAGACCCCAGAGACCTCTGAAAATTTGTATTTAAAAAAGCCACCCCTTTGTAGATCCCTGAGACCTCTGAAAATTTGTATTTAAAAAAGCCACGCCTTTGTAGACCCCAGAGACCTCTGAAAATTTTTATTTTAAAAATCCACGCCTTTATAGACCCCTTAGACCTCTGAAAATTTGTATTTAAAAAATCCACGCCTTTGAAGACCCCTGAGACCTCTGAAAATTTGTATTTAAAAAAGCCACGCCTTTGTAGACCCCTGTGACCTCTGAAAATTTGTATTTAAAAAATCCACGCCTTTGTAGACCCCAGAGACCTCTGAAAATTGGTATTTAAAAATCCCCGTCTTTGTAGACCCCTGAGACCTCTGAAAATTGGTGTTTAAAAATCCACGCCTTTGTAGACCCCTGAGACCTCTGAAAATTTGTATTTAAAAATATCCACACCTTTGTAGAACCCTGAGACCTCTGAAAATTTGAATTTAAAAATTCCACGCCTTTGTTGACCCCTGAGACCTCTGAAAATTGGTATCTAAAAAAATCCACGCCTTTGAAGACCCTTGAGACCTCTGAAAATTTGTATTTAAAAAAGCCTCGCCTTTGTAGACGCCAGAGACCTCTGAAAATTTGTATTTAAAAAAGCCACGCCTTTGTAGACCCCTGAGACCTCTGAAAATTTGTATTTAAAAAAATCACGCCTTTATAGACCCCTGAGACCTCTGAAAATTGGTATTTAAAAAAATCCACGCCTTTGTAGACCCCTGAGACCTCTGAAAATTTGTATTTAAAAAATCCACGCCTTTGTAGACCCCTGAGACCTCTGAAAATTTGTATTTAAAAAATCCGCGCCTTTATAGACCCCTGAGACCTCTGAAAATTGGTATTTAAAAAAATCCACGCCTTTGTAGACCCCTGAGACCTCCTAAAATTTGTATTTTAAAAATCCACGCCTTTGTAGACCCCTGAGACCTCTGAAAATTTGTATTTAAAAAATCCGCGCCTTTATAGACCCCTGAGACCTCTGAAAATTTGTATTTAAAAGATTCCACGCCTTTGAAGACTCCTGAGACCTCTGGAAATTGGTATTTATAAAAATCCACGCCTTTGAAGACCCCTGAGACTTCTGAAAATTTGTATTTAAAAATTCCACAATTTACCTAAAGTCGGACAAAACTATATTTTGGAGCTATATCTAAATCTGAACCAATTTCCACAAAACTTCGCATACATCAATAAGGACCTAATTCAGTAGACCTTGCAAACTTTTGTTTCAATCGGACAAAAATTGCGCACACATCAAACTGGAGATAATTTAGTACGCGGTAAAAATGCTGTCTCAATCGGACAAACTTTGCGAGTTTGGTTCACAATTTGCCTAAAATCGGACGAAAATATATATGTGAGCTATATCTAAATAGGAACCGATTTTCACGAAACTTGATACACATAATTCTAGGTCTAATTTAGTACGATGTGCCAAATTTCGTGCACATCGTGAATTTAAGGGACTTTGATGCTTTATTTACTTATAATCAGATGAAAATATATATGGGAGCTACATCCAAATCTGAACCGATTTTCACGAAACTTAACACACCTCATTCTAGACTTAATTTAGTACCCTTTGCCAAATTTTGTGCAAATCGAAAGATATATATGGGCTTTGGTTCACATATATATGGGAGCTATATCTAAATCTCAACCGATTTTCACGAAACTTAACACACATCATTCTAGATTCAATTCAGTACGCTATGCCAAATTTCGTGCAAATCGAAAGATATTTAGGGACTTTGGTGCACCATTTACATTAAATCGGACGAAAATACACATGGGAGCTATATCTAAATCTGAATCGATTTTCACGAAACGTAACATCATTCTAGACTTAAATGCGTACCATGTGCCAAATTTCGTGCAAATCGAATGATATGTAGGGACTATAGTGCACCATTTACCTAAAATCGGACGAAAATATATATGGTATCTATGTCAAATCTAAACCGATTTTTCCCAATTTCAATAGGGTTGGTGCTTGGGCCAAATAAGTGACCTATGCCAAATTTAATCCAATTCTAATCACAAATGCGACCTGTACTTTGTTTACAATTTAACATGGACGGACAGGCGGACGGGCGGTCATGCATAAATCGACTTAAAATGTGATTCTATGCATTTTCTCTAAAGGAACCATGTGTCTATCTCGTTTTCTTTTGCCTGTTACAAACATATGCACAAAGACATAATACCCTGTAGGACAGTGTGGTGAAGGGTATAAAAATTCATGTAATTTCCAGACCTCTGAAAAATGATTTTTTTTTAATTCTCGACTTCCATAGACTTCTGAAAAAAATAGTTTTTGAATTGAAGATTTATTTAAAATTTGTTATTTAATTTTTTCTATTTTTCCTCTCTCTTTCCAGCTAAATCTCGTCATTTTCCGGTTAATGGCCTGGGTGCCACTAGCCAATCGTCTTCGAACGATACCCGTAATATTTACAATAATCCCTATAGCTCCTCGTCCGCGGCGACAACAGCTTCGTCTTTGCAACAGCAACAACAGCAGCAGCAACAACAACATCAACAAATGCGTCATCAACAATTGTCACAACATGTCTACAAGTCAATAGCCGGTAGTACTGGTGGTAGTAGCGCCGGCTATGATTATTCAACACCAAATCCAACGGATCAACAGGCAGCCGGCGGTTCGAATAGTCATCATTTGACAGATGCGGAAAATGCCTTTCTCAATCATAATAACGGTAAGTTTTTTGAAAAGTTTTCACAATTGAGAAACTTCGGGAGGTGTAAAGGAAGCTTTTTTTTCTTAGCAGAAAATAAAATCTTTACTTCTCCTTCAGGTCATACCTTGCTACTTATCCTTTTAATGCTTACACCTTGTCCTCGATTATCCTTTTATTTATTATGGTGTTAGTGTACTTTATAAGTTTTGTTTTCCATATCTCGGAGTCTCGTTTCATTTACCTTACGAAAGTTCAAGCAATTGCCAACCAACTGTGCCCTTTTTATTGCCCGGCCACCAAAGGTGTAAATTGCTAACCCCCTTTCCCCCCCAGGGGCATACTTATGTTAACCTATCTTAATAATAGTAGCCTTGGTATTTTTTCCATTTGCTTTAAACTGGCATAAATTTGATAGCATTTTGCATATTAATCATCGCCATATGGTGTCGAGTGTTAAAGGAGTGCTAAATCACCTACCTTTTGTCCGTAAATTATGGCCATTTTAATAAATCGTTTTGTTAAGTAAAGGATTTTCAGTTTTACATGAAAAAAGAGGACGAAAAGGGAATTTAAGCCACTAGAAAAATGGGTTAGAAATATATTTGTAAAAAATCCATGCCTTGTGCAGGCCCACGCCTCTTATAGTCTTTGAAAAAATATTCTCTAATAAATCCACGCCTCAGTTGGCCCTTGAAAAATATTCTTTAATAAATCCACGCCTCAGTTGGACCTTGAAAAATATTCTTTAAGAAATCCACGCCTCAGTTGGCCCTTGAAAAATATTCTTTAATAAATCCACGCCTCAGTTGGCCCTTGAAAAATATTCTTTAATAAATCCACGTCTCTTATAGACCTTGAAAAAATATTCTTTAATAAATCCACGCCTCTTATAGTCTTTGAAAAAATATTCTTTAAAAATCCACGCCTTGTGTAGGCCCTAGAAAAAATATTCTTTAAAAATCCACGCCTTGTGTAGGCCCTAGAAAAAATATTCTTTAAAAATCCACGCCTTGTGTAGGCCCTAGAAAAAATATTCTTTAAAAATCCACGCCTTGTGTAGGCCCTAGAAAAAATATTCTTTAAAAATCCACGCCTTGTGTAGGCCCTAGAAAAAATATTCTTTAAAAATCCACGCCTTGTGTAGGCCCTAGAAAAAATATTCTTTAAAAATCCACGCCTTGTGTAGGCCCTAGAAAAAATATTCTTTAAAAATCCACGCCTTGTGTAGGCCCTAGAAAAAATATTCTTTAAAAATCCACGCCTTGTGTAGGCCCTAGAAAAAATATTCTTTAAAAATCCACGCCTTGTGTAGGCCCTAGAAAAAATATTCTTTAAAAATCCACGCCTTGTGTAGGCCCTAGAAAAAATATTCTTTAAAAATCCACGCCTTGTGTAGGCCCTAGAAAAAATATTCTTTAAAAATCCACGCCTTGTGTAGGCCCTAGAAAAAATAAATTAATAAATCCTCGTCTCTTATAGACCTTGAAAAAATATTCTTTAATAAATCCACGCCTCTTATAGTCTTTGAAAAAATATTCTTTAAAAATCCACGCCTTGTGTAGGCCCTAGAAAAAATAAATTAATAAATCCACGTCTCTTATAGACCTTGAAAAAATATTCTTTAATAAATCCACGCCTCTTATAGTCTTTGAAAAAATATTCTTTAAAAATCCACGCCTTGTGTAGGCCCTAGAAAAAATAAATTAATAAATCCACGTCTCTTATAGACCTTGAAAAAATATTCTTTAAAAATCCACGCCTTGTGTAGGCCCTAGAAAAAATAAATTAATAAATCCACGTCTCTTATAGACCTTGAAAAAATATTCTTTAATAAATCCACGCCTCTTATAGTCTTTGAAAAAATATTCTTTAAAAATCCACGCCTTGTGTAGGCCCTAGAAAAAATATTCTTTAAAAATCCACGCCTTGTGTAGGCCCTAGAAAAAATATTCTTTAAAAATCCACGCCTTGTGTAGGCCCTAGAAAAAATATTCTTTAAAAATCCACGCCTTGTGTAGGCCCTAGAAAAAATATTCTTTAAAAATCCACGCCTTGTGTAGGCCGTAGAAAAAATATTCTTTAAAAATCCACGCCTTGTGTGGGCCCTAGAAAAAATATTCTTTAAAAATCCACGCCTTGTGTAGGCACTAGAAAAAATATTTGGAAAAATATTCTTTAAAAATCCACGCCTTGTGTAGGCCCTAGAAAAAATATTTGGAAAAATATTCTTTAATAAATCCACGCCTCTTATAGACCTTGAAAAAATATTCTTTAATAAATCCACGCCTCTTATAGACCTTGAAAAAATATTCTTTAAAAATCCACGCCTTGTGTAGGCCCTAGAAAAAATATTTGGAAAAATATTCTTTAATAAATCCACGCCTCTTATAGACCTTGAAAAAATATTCTTTAATAAATCCACGCCTCTTATAGACCTTGAAAAAATATTCTTTAATAAATCCACGCCTCTTATAGACCTTGAAAAAAATATTCTTTAATAAATCCACGCCTCTTATAGACCTTGAAAAAATATTCTTTAATAAATCCACGCCTCTTATAGACCTTGAAAAAATATTCTTTAATAAATCCACGCCTCTTATAGACCTTGAAACATATTCTTTAATAAATCCACGCCTCAGTTGGCCCTTGAAAAATATTCTTTAATAAATCCACGCCTCAGTTGGACCTTGAAAAATATTCTTTAATAAATCCACGCCTCAGTTGGACATTGAAAAATATTCTTTAATAAATCCACGCCTCAGTTGGACCTTGAAAAATATTCTTTAATAAATCCACGCCTCTTATAGACCTTGAAAAATATTCTTTAATAAATCCACGCCTCTTATAGACCTTGAAAAATATTCTTTAATAAATCCACGCCTCAGTTGGCCCTTGAAAAATATTCTTTAATAAATCCATGCCTCAGTTGGCCCTTGAAAAATATTCTTTAATAAACCCACGCCTCAGTTGGCCCTTGAAAAATATTCTTTTATAAATCCACGCCTGTAGTTGACTAGACTCCTTAAAAAAATATTCTTTAATAAATCCACGCCTCTTATCGACCTCATAAAAATATATTCCAATTCTCTAGACCCCTGGAAGAATATTCAATAAAAATTGATTTAGGAGGAGCAGGTTCGTTGAAATCGCTTTTGAAAATAGTTTCGAACATATGGTATTTATTGATTTTTTGTTTAAACATTTGTTTATTTATATCCATTGATCCTTAATCTAATGACAAAACTTCTAAAGACCGAAAGGAAAACAGAAGTATTTTTCCCAATAATGATTTGTTTACACTGAAGCCTTAGTCCTTTTTTGTCTACTTTCAAACTTAATTCAAATCAACAGCAAATCCCTTCTCAGAAGACCAATGTCCTGTTTTTTCGGAATTATTTGTTGTGGCAAATCAACAGCAACAAACAAACAAATAAATAAATCAATGCAGCGAAGATAAACTCCCTCCTAAGTCCAGTCCATATGTCCAGTATTTTTGTGAGTTTGGCAAACAATATGCTTTCCATTTGGCTGTGTATTTAAATAAAATTTCTGCATGTGTGTTTGTTTTAGTTTTGCAATCCCTAATGATAAACCTTTTTTTCGTTTAGATGTAAAGTATCACCGAAGAAACAACCCCCTTCGATAGAATTCGGAAATCTGAGATTTAGAATCAATTGAAATTGTTGTATTGTAATGTTTGCAAACACACACATGCACTTGGATGATAAGCATCAATGCATATTGGACCTAATGAAAATCCAATACAAATACTATTTTCAGTGGACAGGATAATCGTTTGGTTAAACAGTAAATTTTTTAGAACCGTGAATAAATTGTTAAAAAAATCAACGACTTCTAAAAAAATATTTTTTTATCCACGTCCTCAAAACAATTTTTTATACCCTCCACCATAGTATTAAGGGTATATTAATGTTGTCATTCCGTTTGTAACACATCGAAATATTAATTTCCGACCCTATAAAGTATATATATTCTTGATCAGGGTAAAATTCTAAGACGATCTAGACATGTCCGTCTGTCCGTCCGTCTTCTGAAGGAATTGAGATAGGAGGCTGTAATTTTGTATAAAGTTGTCTTTTGTCTGCAGGCAGGTCAAGTTCGAAGATGGGATATATCGGTCCACGTTTAGGCATAGCTCCTATATAAGGGTACCTCCTAATTTTCGGTATTTTGGGGTTCTTGAGCACGTTTTTCAACCGAATTCGCTGAAATTTGCTACAATGGGTTCTTATTGGGTTCCAAATTTCTCCACAAAAAATTATAAATATAGGTCAATTTTTTCTTGTAGCCCCCATGTACCGGTACCCTCTAATTTGCAGTATCTTGGGGGTTTTGATCATATTTTTCCACCGAATTGACTGTAATTTAGTATTTTGAGTTCTTAATAGATACCAAAATTCTCCACGAAAAATTATGAATATAGGTCCATTTTTTCGGATAGCCCCCATATAAGGGTACCCCCCAATTTTAGGTATTTTGGGGTTCTTGAGCGCGTTTTTCAACCGAATTCGCTGTAATTTGGAATTTTGAGGTCGTATATGGTAACAAATCTCCCTACCAAAAACTATTAATACTCGCCCCCTTTTTGGGGTAGTCCCCATACAACCCATTTTTATACCCTTCACCACACTGTGGTACAGGATATTATGTCTTTGTGCATATGTTTGTAACAGGCAAAAGGAAACGAGATAGACACATGGTTCCTTTTGAGAATATGCATAGAATCACTTTCTAAGTCGATTTATGCATGTCCGTCCGTCCGTCTGACTGTCTGTGCATGTTAAATTGTAAACAAAGTACAGGTCGCATTTATGATCCGAATTGGATGAAATTTGGCATAGGTCACTTATTCGGCCCAATGACGAACCCTATTGAAATTGGGAAAAATCGGTTCAGATTTAGATATAGCTCCCATATATATATTTAACCGAATTAATGTAAACGGTCCCTATATATCTTTCGATTTGCACGAAATTTGGTACAGCCTAATCATTTAG